TCGTAGATGCCGCTCGACCCTCTCTCCTCTCGCAGTCGCGTATCTCCCTTTTCGATCTCTCATCTCTTTCTTTTTTTTTTGTTATTTAATTACATATATATATATATATTTACTGCTTGGATATTTTATATATATATATATATATATATTTACCGAAGCTTGCATATTACACACTGCAACGATATCTTTGATAATATTACAAATAATTATCTTGTTAGGCGCACTATAAATAACATTAATATATTTCGTCTTCATTGTAGACCTAATGTTCTCCATCTTTCTACATTCTATTATACATTATATGTGACAGAAGACATTGTGTGTGTGTATCATTTTGCTCATGTACACACAATACTACTAGATGTGATCTCATAAAAATCAAATATCAGAATTTATAAATATATATATACACACACACACGTTAAACAACAATTTCTAAAATGGGTATTATTCTTTATTAAAATTTTAATAGAATATGTTAATCAATTAGGTACTTTTTAGAATTTTTACAATAATTAATGAATCATATGTAATATCTTTACTCTACATTAAAAAAAAAAAAAAGAGAGTATAAAATCCATCTGTTGGTATAGAAATCCTATCATAATTTAAAGGCAATGAGGAAAAACAAAGTTAAGAGAAAGGTGAGAGTAACAATAATATATTAGTACTTGAATTAATTGTAATGATGAATAACACTTGGTTCTTTAAAACTATAAATTTAGGATTTATATACTAATCAATATTTGCTAGCCTAATCTAATCTAAACTTCTAGTGTTTTTTTTTTTTTATATTATTCAATTTAATTATTCATTTAACTTTAAAATTTTGCAAGGGAAAAGTACTTTCGAACATTTACCTTTCGTTCCCCATGGAGAGAAGGAAATGGATCGAAGCACAACAACCTTTTGGAATTAATTTATTATAAAAGAAAATGGAGATAATACATATATATATATATATATTTTTTAAAAAATAAAGTATAGAAATTGGAAAAAAAAAAAAAAATGCCGGCAAATGGGGACCTAGTGAACTGGAGAAGTAAATGTGAAAATTGACATTTTTATTAATTTATTTAGAGACTGATTTATGGACTGTGTATAATAACCTTCAAAGGAGGCAACACCACCCATGACTGGTAAGTTGTCAATGATTAAAGGGAACGTACCCACCCTCCACTTTACTTCATACCATTTTTGTATCAATTTTACATATTACATTGTCTGTAATATATGATTATATAATAAGAAATTTTACACGACCTTAATTTCCTAACCAAAGTGTGCGGTAGCTATTTGAAAATAAATTAATGAACATATATATATATATATGTATATGGGCTAGACTTGACTTTGTATTATTTGGTCTACTTAATCTGTTTGTAAACCTACTAAGAAGCACCATCACGTGCCTTGGAATCTTATACAGTTGCATTCGAATCATTTCAATGTGTTTAATATATCTTAACATTTACCCTATAATACATGCATAAAAAGAGACCTTTGGATGGCATAGTTGGTGAATAAATGGATTACGTTAATCTAATTCTTAGTGTTGTACATTTCTAAAAGGGGATCTTGGAGACGCAATTGCTAGAATATAAAATTCCAAATTTTTTTATTTCTTCCTAACATTGAATCATAAGAAGTTCAGAAAATATACGCGTGTGTGTGTACATATATATTTGATTAATGCATGGCAGAAATATAAACATGTTGCAGGAATGTGGTCAAAGAAAGCTCAAGTAGAGAGTCAGAGAAGGAGAATGTTTGTACTTTTTGCCAATGTGAATGGAAACAGATTTTTCGTTATCCATGAGAATCATCCATTAAAATATTAACTCGTATGCTTCAAACTTAGTTTATTCTCAGAGTTAATCATCACTCACAAACTCCTACTTGGGACTACTGCCCACAATATATATATATATATACATACATACATACAGAAACACGCGTAAGCACTGTTTTTGTTTTTTATTTTTATTTTTTTTCCTCAAAAAAAACAAAAACAGTACACAAATTAATATACAAAACTGTTTTCAAGTCATGCTTTCGCGTAGTGATGAACATTATCGGGTCAAAATCGGACTGACTTTGTTATTTAAAATTTTAAAATGCAATATATATCTATATTATAAGGATTATATAAATAAATATTTAATATACAAAAAATATATATAATCAGAAAAAGGGTTTTTAAATAATAGAAAAAAAGGGGTCTGGAAATGTTATTTAAACAGAGAGAGGAGGGAGGGCATTAAAACAAGGGATAAGGGTGGTAGGAGGCGTCATTTAATTATGAAAAATAAATACTTTGATGTTTAAGTCCCCGGCTTTTCAGCAAATAAATCTCTACTTAATCAACTGGTTCTTCATTTATGATATTAAACAAAATAAATAAATAAATAAATAAAAATGCATCTTTCAATCTTTTTTTTTAATTAATTTTCATAATAAAATTTTGTTAATAAATGTGTTTGAAATTTATTTAATATTTATCAAGATTAAAAGTAAAAGCCGTATGGATGTTGTTAAGTGCTATTTAATGAAATAAGAAATTATGTAGGCACGTTTGATTAAGTTTATAAGCTCATGAATATAAACTAATAAGTTGTTTAGTAATATTTCAAAATTTTATGTATTTAGTAAATAATTTTAATGTTCATTTCATTTTTTCACAGAGATAAAAGTACTTTATTGACCAAATAAAACTCCTAAATTAATTTTTAATATATTCTCAACCCATATTAATTTATTATTTTAATAAATATATTATATATATATATATATATATATATAGACAAGTGTAGGAGTTGAGAGGGATTTGAGAGAGTGAGAAAGGAAGGGGGCATGTCATATGTGGTGGTATGAGGACATAATAACTCCTTTTCATCATTAAAATTTGATACTAACTCCACCCCTTGGTGGACCCCCTTACAACATTCACGTCAAAACTCTCTTAAAATTACTACACTTTCTTATTATTATTATTTTAAAAAAATTAAATTAATTCTGTTGACTTTTAGTCAAAACACAGCCTGAATATTCAATCTCAACTTGCTCAAGTCTTTATATATATATATATATATGTATATATAGTGGCTCCCAAGAGGGTTCGTAAAATGTTGAACTTCTACCCATTTGAGAAAGAGGGGAGAAAATTTCAGTGGTTTTGTGTAGACATAAACAGAGCATGAGGTGATGATGCAATTGGGAAATTAGATTCAAATTCAATATTAATGGAATCTTTGATTATCAACACCACCCACCACTTGCTAAATTACTATTTCCATCTCTCCATAATTATATCTATCATCATTATTTAAATCAAAGTATTTATAACTTATAATTTCTTTCATCATTAAAAAATAAAAAAAAAAACAGAAAAAGAAGGTCTCAGTTAGTACACGTGTGTCTGGTCATGGATGATGGACGTGGATATCCATCCATCTACTTCTAGTGGGAGAATTTTGAGCATTGCCCCCCCCCCCCCCCCCCACACCACGAACGAACTTGCCCTTTCTCACAAACCCCATATATATATATATATAAAATACTCCTCTTATCCAGGACTTTAAATGATGACCAACATGTATAATATTATATGTTCATATATATATATATGTATTTACAATACCCTATGATTTGTATATGTAGCCCATTAAGTTCCCGGATTCCTTGTCCTTTCATGAACTTTAGGCGCGGATGGATGGAGTCGAATTTCGAACGTTACACGCATATAAACTTGAAAAAACGAACTCAACAAAATTGCAATGGAGCTCAATTTTTGACACACACACACACACACACGTGTGATATAGACATTTATATAAAAATATGTTATTTGATTGGGGGTTTGGGATGAACTTATATATATATATATGTAGCAAAAGATTAAAAGTGGATGGTACGAGTTATGGAGGAAGATGAGTATGACGTAAATGAGCGAGAAACATGGGGAATCTTGGCTCCAGTTTCCAAAGAACATGAAACCCTACCCTTCCAATCTCCAATACTCACCTTAACTGCGATAGGCACTGATTAAAAAACAAATGTAAAATAATTACCAGTGTGTGTAATATAAAGCTTCTTGACGCAAGAATGGAAAGGCTTTAGGCGGAAAAAGAAAATCAAGAATGGCAAAAAAGCAAACGCAGTATATTATTATTATATGGGAAAAAGAAAACACTCAACAAAACCCAGCACGAAAATCAAAGAAATTAAAGAAGACAAGTTTGGGTTAGGTTGAAATATTAATAAATTCACGTGTGAGGGTGGAGGATCTATAATCTATAATTTGTACACCGCCGAAAACGAAGGAGCAAGATTTGATTTGATTCATAATAAGATGGGATTGCTTGGCTTCTGCACTCTTTTATAAATTATAATACAACTACCAAGTAGGGTTTTGATGATTGATTAGATTGATTGCTGTTCTGGGTTCATTTTGTACAAAAGTAAAATTAAATTCAGATTTTCAATCGGTGTTCTGCAACATTTTGAAAAAATTTCTTAAATTTTGATATTACAATAATTGATGTCTTTAAGATTAATATAAAAAAAAAAAATTAATGTCGACCATAACTTTTTACATTCAAATTAACAACTTTTAAATACTACATTTCATTGGGTATAGAATTTGCTAATTTTTTTGGGACCAAATTATGAATGTTCAAACCACTAACGCGTCTAACAATTTTCTCTGATCGAGAGTTGGCTGCCGCTCAGATTCGTCGGAAATGCCAAATGGCAAGAAAAATTTCAAATACATTGAAGCCCATACTCCACAATTCCCTAAAAGTTTCTGGGTTGGGACTATTTTTAAGCACTATTTTGGATCCATTCACGATTAATTGTATTCTGGATGGGGCCTCAAGAAGGCCTTTTAGCATCACAAACTTGGAATAATTTTTCACTTAATTCCTAGTTTATATTTAAAGGTACTTTCCTAATTGATTTTCAGCAAATAATCAGAAAGAAAATATATCCGAAAGAAAGGCTTTAAAATCAGTTCCTGCCATGTTAACTCATCATATTGCAGTGGTTCATAATTTACATGTGGTGAGTGCAACCGTGCGAGAAAATCTCTCGTCTAACTGATTAATTACAACACCAAAATATTCATCCGCAGCTTATTTATCAATAAGCTCGTAACTCACCATAATTATTCATCTGCTGCTTAGTCATTCAACTACATCCACAAAGCCAGAGCCATTGTCAAAACTACCCACCAAAACCCATTCTCTCCTGGAGCTGAAACCAGCAGAACGAACATGATGATGATCAATTTGAATACCCTTTTCTTCTTCATTCATAAAATTCATCCAGACAAACATGGTCCCAATAATCATGAAAAACATACCTTGGTTCTTCCCACTGTCAGGCAAAGCATGCGTCCCAGAAGAAGAACGGTTTGACAAAGCAATCCCAAGATTTGCACAATCCATTCCAAATGCACCTTCAAGTAAAATCATCCAAAAACTCAGCTTCATATCTATAAATACTTGTTTTTTCAACGAGCACTTGTAGAGTGTACTTACATTCTCTGTAACATGGGAATGCAGATACATTGAGTATGTTATTATAGCCTTTTTCACATTCACAAGCATAGGTGAACTCTGATAACTTTTTGCACGAACCACCTCCACAATCTGCCCACCTGCAGGCTGAAAAAACCACAGCACAACAAATTAGCTGCAATCCAAACACAGCCTAATTGTTATAGCTTCTACTCACGATCGAAGATTGACTCATTAGCTCTTGGGGATTTCTGTTGAACAGAGGGAGCAGCTTCAAGGCAGGCTGAATTGAGTGTGCCTGACCAACCCGGAGACAAAATCAGGAACCCAGTCAAACTCTTATTTAACTATTTCTGAACTAACATGGGGAAATATTTTATGTCAAATGCATAAACAGAACTGTACTTATAATGTTTGACTAGAGCAGGAATCTTGAGGTGTTTCATTCATGACACTGCGTCACCAATTTTCAGTACTTGTAATCTCGTGTTTCTTCTACTCCGAAGTTCAAACTACCTACTGTTCTATCTTTTAAACTTTGATTATTTACCCTGGAGATCTAAACTATACCATAGTATTCCCATATCTAAGGACTAATTAAATATACCCAGTAGCGGATACATATAACATCCAAGATGTAATTTTAATGTTCTATCATTATGATTATCTATTAATCAAATCAGTAGAAAAGCATCGTACATGGAAAACAAAATTAGATTCCCAATTACAATAGACGTGAGAGAGAGAGAAAGAGAAAGAGAGCTAACAGTTGGGAACTATGCACGGAAGAAAGTTGAAAAGATGATCTTGATCAGAGCGCGTCTGCTTCCACCCAAGATCACAATGACATTCAAAGAAGAAGGTACTATTTGGAGAAGACTTGCAACTACCCCTTCCACACTCTACTTCTTTGCACACATCATCTACCAAAACCACATCAAACAAAAAAAAAAAAATTAAGCAACACCCAGTAGCTAAAACGCATCAAAATATCAAACCAATAAAGCCAAATCAATTAATAATCGTGTAATACCCACAAAAGAATAAAAATAATTGGTAATTCATAAAAATTAAAGGAACGAACCGAAAAGGGGAGAGAGAAGTGGAGTCAAAAAGTCGCTCGCAGCAGTGTTAGAATGAAGAAGAAGGGGAATAAGGAGAAGAGAAATCACGGCGGCAACAGAAGCCATCTCTAGAAATTGAATATGCAGAGAGAACGAAGTAAATAGATATAGAAAGGAGGGAGGAGTTTCAAGATTTGAGGCGCCTTTAATGGAGCGGGAAGCTGTCGTAGTTGGAAGTTAACGTGGCTGACCGGCTTAACATTCGTGGACCTCCCTAAGTTGGGTCGTTGAGAGTTGAGGTTTCTCGTTACCTCGCATTTCAAATAAAGGTTACAACTTTTATAGCTTTCTAAAAAATTTGATTTAAATGCATTGACCTAAAGATATATGCATTGATAACTGGGTAATTTTAAATTTGATTTTCTACTGTTTCAGAAAGGAAATAAGATGACAATTTGGGCGTGGGATTTTGAAAATCCAGGATACGTACAAGGAGAAAATTTATTTGAAGCCGAGAAAGAGTATCTAAAAATTATTAAATAATATATATTCTTCATTTTTTTAAAAAAAATTTTAAATATCTTATCCACGTGTATTAAAACAATAATGAAATCGATAGTTACACGTGTTTGACATGTGAGGATTAAGTCAAAATTATAATCGACATAAAAAAATTATCAATATAAATATAAAAATTTTATTTAAAATAATTTTGTGAATATTTGATAAGTTGGAAATGGTGATTTGAACAATTAGAATAGGAGTATAAAAAATTTTATAATCACAAAGCTGAGATGACAAGTAGTAAGGAAGAAAGATGCAATTGGTTACAGTTTGCTAAACACATTAAGAAAGTGTTTGATTACTTAGAATAGTAATTTGCAGAGAGTATTAACAAAGTAATCAATAGAAAGTGGGGGATGAAAGTTGTATATCTCTTTGATAAGATTGCTTGTTGGGCAGTAAAGTAATTGGAAAAGAGTAGACATTTATATAATAATAAGGAGAAAACTATGAAAATTATCATCCATTTTGCCATATGAGAGAAATTACTGGCTAATAATTCCGTATTAGAAGCAACAAAAGGAGCATTAATAATAATGAGTTTTCTTTGTACCTCTTATGCAATGATGAACTGCTTGCTAACACATGAGATACATGAGACTTATGTCCATTCTACTATGTTAGTGAAGCAAGGGGACGATCTTGCATGTTCTCTTTGATTGTTCTATAATTTTATTGTTACTTATTATTTGTTTTTTGTTTTCTTTTCTCTTAATATCATTGAATTTGAATAAAATAAGACTTATTCTTTGTGAAGGAAATGTGTAACAATCCCAAAAATACAAAAAGAAATATATAATAATTTAAGTGCAGAAGTGAAATAAAATATTAAGATTTATATTCCTTACACAATAACTTAAAAATGCTGAACAACATTACGAAATGAATTCTCTGAAAGAAACACGAGAAATAAGAAAAATAATAGAAAATAAAAAGTATCTAGCATCTACTCGCAATCTTCTTGCGGATCGGACTCTAAAACCAGGTCCTCTTGATCTGAAATGGTTAAATAAAGGATGAGCTACACTAGCCTATTAAGAATATCATACTATATCACCAACACATAAGCAAATGTTGATATTCAAAACAACTAATGGAGTACTAAATTTAACAAATTCGTTTATCAATCATAAAATTATTTACCTCACTTACCGTAGTGGAATTTATGAAAACAACCTATAGAGACAATAATACCATACAGATAATAACTTTATGAATAATCAGGAACATAGAATATATCATAATTTCATATTCATTAACAATAAACCAAATCATAACTATTTCTCATTTCACCAGCCTAATAGTATCCATGGGGTTTCATAGGGGTGTCTCCGCTACACGTGAACTCTTTCCCTTAACAATCTCAATTACAGGGCCGTCCCCATACCCCATCCTGTATGAGCGCTAAGCCATTAAACCTCAATACTCCGTTTGCTATGAGAGTGAAGCAGGCCATCCCCATACCCGTCTGGTATGAGTGTCAAATTACTAAGTCTCCATACCCCGTTCGGTATGAGACAACGTTCACAGTAGGGTTCTCTATGTACCTTATCCGTTCACTATCTCTCTGGATATCTCATTTAAACCATAAAATAGATAAATCAGATACTATCATACTTTTAGACTGTAAAATAAATCAACAGAGAACAGTGTCCGGTTTGGGCTCCATTAGTAATCTGTAATTAATTATACACATCTATTTAATTTGTATAAAATACCGTATTATTATTTATTTAAACTTCAATTCTATGATAGGAAATAGGGTGAAGGGTCCTTACTCGATTTGACGTCAAAAAGCTAAACGGTTTACTGCGCCTACGGGCGATCCTTAGGTTCCCTGAATTTTTTTTCGGGAACTAAAACGCGCTTATAGTACCCATAAATGTTCCAAGTAAATCCAAAATCAGTCTTAGGGCCCGCTCGGTCAATTTTAAAAATTCGGCACGGCGGCTTTGCTGTGCTCCAGCGACGGCGGTCCACCTCGAGTTGGTCATTTTTGATCTTTTTTGGCTGAATTCGGTCAATTTTGCATCGATTTCTGTGATCACACACGCTAAAGGGCCTCGGTGGCCCGAAAAAATACGAAAAATTGAAACTCAACGGTAGGGGTTTTTTCGGTGCGGCAGCTCCTCCGGCTCATATTGCAGTTGAGTGTTTCACTTCGGTCAACCTGTAAAGAAGAAAATGGTGGTCACAACGGTAGAAAAATTATGCAAAACAAGAATTGGGAAGGGCCTCATTGAGACAGTTTGTGAAATTTCCCGCGGCGGTGCCGCCGGGCTTCGTCGGTATTTTTCAGCCAATTAGCCAGTTCTTTCACTCCAATTTTGCCGTGGGTGGGCTTAAAATTTAATTTCGTGTAAAAGGAGAAATTTTTACCTTTTTTTTTCGGTCAGAAAGGTTTTCGATGCGACGGCAGGTGGCGGCGACAGGTGGCGGCGGTTGGCTCCCTGGCGGCTGAGTTGTCTTCTCCGCCGAGGGGTTCTGGCGGCTAGGGTTAGGGTGCAGATTAGGTTATTTATACCCATCTGCTTTTGATCTGGGCTATCCATCGGATTTGATTTGGACCATCCGATCGCTATTAATAGGTAGTGAATCTGGACCTTTCATCGCCATCCAATCTGGGCCGTCCATCGCGATTCACTCTGCGCCGTCCATCGTGATTCACTCTGGGCCATCTGTGCGCGCAGGAACGGACTCAGCCGTTCGATCGTGCACATGCAGATCGGCCACGTGGCTCCCCAGCGTGACCTCCCGCATAAGCGCCTCTGCCACTTGGCGTGTCCTGGTTAGTTGGGGCTGCTGACCGGGCGTCTGATGAGATAAATTTTTTTTAAATTAAGTTTTGGCCTCCGGTTTCTGATTTTTCTTTCAAAAATATCCTCAGAACCTAATTTTCTACTCATTTTTCTCAAAATTATTTTCAATTTAATCGTTAATAAATTAAAATAAAATAAAATAGAATAAAATAAAATAAATAAATAAATAATTATATTTATTAATAAAAAATGAAAAAAAAGGTTTTGATGGGTGTTACAACTCTCGCACCTTTAAAAGAAATTTGATCCCTCAAATTTATCTCTCATTCTCAATCGAACAGCTGGGGATACTGGATTCTAAAGTCTGATTTTAGCTCCCATGTAGCCTCATTCGGTGTGTGGTTATGCCATATGACCTTTATAAAGGAAATTTTTCGGTTGCAGCGTAATCTGCTCTTTCGATCCACAATGCTGACCGGTACTTTCTCGTAGGATAGATTCTTCTAGAGTGAAAGAGACTCGTGGGTCAAGACATGAGAGGGGTCCGGGTTGTACTTACGTAGCATGGACATATAAAACATATTGTGGACATTGAAAAGTTCTGGAGGCAGTGCCAGTCTGTAGACGGCGGTACCAGTTCTATCTAAGACTTTAAATGGTCCAATAAATCGGGGGTTCAGTTTTTTTCTCATGCCGAACCTACTGATTCCTTTGAAAGGAGTGACATCAAAGAACACCTGATCACCTTTCTCAAATTCTAAATCTATCCTCTGGGTGTCCGCATAACTCTTCTGTCTGCTCTGAGCCGTCTGAATGTTCTTCCTGATCTTAACTATTTTGGATGTAGTCTCCTCTACCAGATCTTTGTCGAACAGTTTTTTATTGTCCATTTCTTCCCAATAAATCAGTGATCTGCATGGGCGCCCATATAACACCTCTTACGGAGCCATGTCAATACTTGCTTGGTAGCTGTTGTTGTAGGCGAACTCTATCGGGGGTAGATGGTCATCCCAATGGCCTCTAGAGTCAAGGACACAAGTTCGAAACATATCTTCAAGTGTACGAATTGTCCTTTTTGACTGTCAATCAGTCTGAGAGTGGAATGCAGTACTAAGGGATAACTTCGTTCCCATAACTTGCTAAAAGTTATTCAAAAATTGAGAAGTGAACTTGGGGTCTTTGTCAAACACTACTATCACTGGTACTCCATGCAATCTGACTATTTCCTGGATATAAATTCTTGCTAAATTGTCTAAGGGATCGGTCATCCTGATGGTTAAGAAGTGGAAAGACTTGGTAAGCCGGTCAACAATTACCTAGATGACATCATGCCCTGAGCGTGCTTTAGGTAATCTTGTCATGAAGTCCATGGTGATATGTTCTCACTTCTATTTTGGGATCGGTGATGGTTGAAGTAGCCCACCTGGGCGTTGATGCTCTGCCTTGACCTGCTGACATACAAAACACTTAGAAACAAAGTCAGCTATATCTCTTTTCATCCCGTTCTACTAAAATCAGGGTCACATACTTTGGTATATTTTAGTGCTTCCGGGATGCATGACAAACTTTGAGTTATGGGCCTCTATCATGATGTTCCTCTTTAACTCATTGTCACCTGAAACACACATCCTGTCTTGGAATCTGAGCAACCCATCTGCGGAGACTCGAAATTCTAAGCTAACTCTCTGTTCTGCATCTTTCTCGAGGGCTACTAGGACGCAATCGGTGGACTGAGCTTCCCTTATTCTCTAGATTAACTCAAACTAAACGGTCAGATGACCCAAATATGTGACTCTCCTCAAGTCCTGAGGCTGTACCTGTTGTGTGGCCCCAATCTACCTACATTCTAAAACCATCAAATAGGCTAATGTACTTGCACTTTTTCTGCTGAGTGCATTGACTACCACGTTACCCTTACCTAGGTGATACAAGATGTCACAATCATAGTCCTTAAGAAGTTTTATCCACTTTCTCTGATGCATGTTGAGATCCTTTTGAG